TCTGTATTTGGCTTATACAACTCTTTATTGCTACTGTTATATTATTTATTTTCTCAATTATAATAAGTTTCTATTTTCAAAAAGATTATTTTTAAACTTTTAAAGTTTAATTTATAAAAGGTTTTTATTTTTATATTACTTAATCTTAATAAACAAAGTTCTCTAAGCATTCTTATAGTACAAAAATTCTGATACTATTAGTGCAAGATTATATTACTAAAAAATTAAATTTATATTATTAAGAGACTTAATAAATATTTCTTTAATGAATAGTCATAGAGCTGTATGATCTTATGCTCTTAATAGCATTAGCTCCAGATTACCTTAATTTTAAAATTTTCTGCTAAATCTGTTTCTCTCTTTTTTTAAATTCTTTTGATAATTTATTTAAATATAATTATATTTGTATAATCTGATCAGACATATCTAACTATTTTATAAAAATTATTAGTATTAATATCAATTCTTTCAACTTTTATTTCTGTCTATTTATAAAACTTGATATATAAATTATATGCTTTGCTTAAATAAACCTTATGTAATAGATCTATAGAATTTTCACAATTTTTTTTTGTATAAACTAATAAACTTTTTATTAATTTATTTTGATTGCCAATAGTCTTTTATTTGAATTTTCGCATAGTTTTATTTGGCCTGTAAGTCCTAGTAGAAATATTTTCAATGCAGATAGAAGATTTCAAACTATCTTAAAATCTAAAAGAAACAAAAACTGCTACAGAGCTGTTTTTCAAATAAAAAAGATTATAACTATAGTTGCTTTGCACTTCTAGTTTTGAACTAAGACCTGTTAAATTGCACTTTTAGTTTTGAACTAAGATCTGTTGAATTATACTAAAAAATGCATATACATAGTTTATTTATTTCTTTCAGTTTTGAATAAAAACATCTATAGCTAGCTTTCTATTTTATTATTTTAAATTTTTGCACAATCAACTTATATTTTTTTTTGCTTAAACTAGCAATAGTATTACCTTGTCCTAATTTCAAAACTCTGATTTTAGATATCTATTAGATTATAAAATTTTAGATATTTTATTTGAATAAAAAGAAATACCCAAACTAAATTTTAAATTCTTTCAACTATTGAAGTTAATTTCTTTGCACTTAGTTTTTCTACTTCTTCTAATAATTTCAACTTAATCTTTACTAGTTTTAATTTCTTGTTTGTAATTTAACTCAAGTTAACTTTGTATTTACCATAGTTTAAATGAATAAATAATAGGTGAATAATAGGTAAATAACAGAAAAAAAATTTGCTATTATTTTGACCTATATCTGTCAAATAATAACAACATAACAGCAGAATAACAGTAAAATAACAAAAGGTTTGTTGATATGAGTAACATAATATATAGTAACATAATAGCAAATAATGAAATAGTTCTATTATTTTACTTTTAGTTACAAAGAATAAAAGTAAAATAATAGAACTCTTTTATTATTTTGCTATTATGTTACTATTATGTTACTTATATTGACAAATCTTTTGTTATTTTACTGTTATTCTGCTGTTATGCTGCTATTATGCTGCCATTATTTGGCAGATATAAGGTAGAATAATGGAAGATTTTTTTTTTATTATTTACTTATTATTTACCTTTTATTCATTCATTCAACCTTGGTTCCTTCAATCTAAAATATTTGACTACTTAAGCTAGCTTTCACTGTTCTTTATCTAGAGCTCTTATTCAACTACAACCTTCTAAATCTACTAAGATTACTGTATTTCTATCTTTAACAAATAATTTTTGTTTAGATAAGTTATCCAAACATTATCTAAATAATTATTACAAAATATCTTCTTTGTCCTCCAGGAACCAATTAGAACTTTATGATTTTTCAGAAAATTCAGACTGCCTAAAAGAGATCAAAAAGAAGAACTATATAATAATACCAAGTTTTCTTATTTTTGAAGCTTAGAAAACATTGAGCAGACTCATTTATTCTTATATACTAGCAACTATACCTTAAATCAAATGTGACAATGCATTAATTTTGACCAATGATCTTAAAAATTATCCCAATTCTTTGAATCATACTGTTTTCTTGAACAACCTCTTGTTCAAACATTTTAAATTTATTACTAGTTTGTACTTCTTTAGACATTCTTTGGAATAAGAAATATAGGACTTATCTCTAGCAAAAACTCTGGTTTCCTCCTTCCCTGTGATACCTGATGAACTACACCCATTCTGCATATTTGATCTAATTCCTCTGCCAACCAAGTTCTTTTCTCACTAGTAAAATTGATCTGCTGTGGAACCTCCGATGTTTTCACTTTCGCGAGTAATTTCGCCAGTTTCGCAGTTTTGCCATAGAGTTTCATCTTTTGTCTTTTGCCAGGATTAGGTTTCGTTTTTGCCATTTGCCCAAAATGATTTCATCATCAGTGACCAAAGCACGCGACTATAAATTGCTGTATTAAGGTGCCCATGACACAGTTTAGAGCTCTAATTGACTCTAGTTACTCGGACTGAGTATTTTCACGCCTCGATCATAGCCTTGCCACTATTAGGTTCAGTTAGAGTGTACTTAGTAGGGATGTTAACAATCCAATCTAATTAATTTTGGACCAAGTCTGGTATGGTTTTCAGTTTTAAGATTTTACTATGTAGTCCAGACCAGTCCAGTCTTAATACTTAGTGCAGACCAATTTTAGGGTTCAGACTGGCCTTAAGACTAACAGTGATCTATTAGTCTAAAACCAAACTATATAGCATTCCTAGTATTTAGTGTTGTAGTATAGTATTGTGCTATACAGAATCAAAGCAATTTCGACTTTCTCAATGTATGTACATAGGTGACATGGAAATTTTCAGTCAAAAATAGGGATCATCTAAAGCCTGGTAGTAATTTCAAGTGGCATATGATTTTTACTTTACAAATATCAGGAATGTGCCAGAAACATAGTGTATGGTTTACAAGCAACTTTCTGTGTTCAAAATCTTGCATATTATTGAACAGCATGATCTTATCATGTTGAAATTATTTTGTAAAGATTTAACTAGTATTAATCTGGTACATATGTATATATATCACTCTAAATAAAGGTTATTGGCCTGATTAAGAAAAAAGTTCGGTTTGTATTACAAATTCTATTGGGCTTTACATTGAATAAAGAAAAATATTTAAATCAAGCTTGTGCATTATTTCACATCTAGATTTTAAGATATACTGGTTATGCTTTACTACAATTGACAATCGATTTGAGTAGCATTATTTATTAGCAAGCATCCAAACTTGTTCTATAAAACCGATTTAGGAAAGGATTATTTTGGTTCAGCAGAGTTATTATATAGTATGTTCTATAAGTGATAAAATACAGTTAGTTTTAAAACCCAGTTTGAAACTGAAAAAGAAATAATCTGCCAGATTAGCTGAAACTAGTCTGGACTAGAGACTAGACTTGAATCAACTCGTAGTTTAAGAAACGTAGTCTTAACTCGAATTAACTCGAATCAAGACTATATTTTTAATCTACGGATAGACTCGAGTCCGGTCTCTAGTCCGGACCAGTTAGTTCTTAAGACTTTAAACTATTAGAGTGAACCAGAACTGAATTGAATGGATCAGGTTAGGTCAGAAAGGACTGTTAACATCCCTATGGTTCAATCGTATTATAGTTGCTGTCCAAACTAAGTTGATAATTTCAGCGAAGAGCATATGGGCCAATTTTTTCGTCATACTTTTCAAAACGATCTAATTCTGGTCAAATCTGCAGATCATTTGGCCCTGGTTTATCAGTTTTAAAACTGATAAGCCAGGGCCAAATGATCTGCAGATTTGACCAGAATTAGGTTGTTTTGAAAAGTATAACAAAAAAATCGGCCCATATGGTAAATTCATGTAATGCATTCACGATTTTAGTGGTAGGCGTGTTCACAATTTTGATAGAGTAGTTAGTAATTTCAGCAAAGTTTAACTGTAGGTTTTGTTGATTTTTAATTACAGGTATGTTCATAATATTTAGAATATAGTTCAATGCTTAAATTTGTTATTAATTCATCTAAGGCAAGTTCAATGTTTACTAAAATTTGCTATTATGTAAGTATATGTAAAATATATGCATTGCATAACTTCTTATCATTAATATCTGCTTTCACGCACTTTAATAAATTTACTTAAAATATATATAAAATTTATCGTAAATTCTCAACATAGTGAACATGGACGTTTTGGCTTGAATTAAGCCTAATTTAGGTAAAATTTGGTAATTTTCCCACTGGACCTTATTTTTAAATTTTTATTTTATTTTTAATGTTAATTATGAATAAGATGGGTAGTAAAGCACCATCCAACGCACTAGTAACTTATAAATTAATGTTATTTTTAATCAATTATTAGGATTAGTCTATATCTTCTAGCTCATTCATAAATTTACGTTCCTGGTTTTGCACAACAGCATCGCGCAGCTACCTTATTTGTTAGTAATTAAGTTAAAAAACTATCTGGCTTAAGACAACATCCAAAAATGGAAAATAATATAATGCATTGCTTTTTAATTGCCTAGTCAGTTTAACAAAAGGATCTGAATTAGGAATAGATATCTGAACTTTCTATATATGCTGTTGTTATACGTATACTGATTTTCATTAGCGTTAGATTATTTACTGTATAAAAGCTAATATAGATATTAGTAAAAGAAATGACTGATAAATTAATTTTCTAATTTGGGCTAAATGGTTCCAAACTCAGTTAAATCATTTTGCAATCGGTTGATACATTTAACAATGAGGACTGACTTGGCATTTCGATATGTTTGGAAACGAAAACATTTTTTGTTCATTCTCCGATATTAATTCTTGTTTGTTTCAATACATTACTTTTAAGAACGCATTTTACTGCAAAATATGATCTTAACTTTATTTATTCAATTGGCTAACAAATTTTTATTCAAAAAAAAGCATAAAATTATTTATTTGCTGTACAACATATCAATAATAATAATAATAATAATTGTAGTAATAATTTGGGTAAAATTAGGACACTGGCATATGATTTGAATGTCCGTAATCATAACCATAGCGCAGGTAATTTCTACGATGTACGCAACAAAATATACATGATAATAAAATAATAACAGCAACTGCTATAAAGCCTCCCAGAGCTAAACCAATAATTAATCCAAAATTAAGATTAGATTCGGTTTTATTATCGGGTGATATGGATGTATACGTAGGTATTTGTGAAGTTATTGATAAAGATGTTGTAGTTGAGACTGAAGGATTATATATATTAACCCATTTGTAATTATTTTTTTGACTTATATCAAGAAGGTAAATATTATTAAGAGGTTGATAATCAACATATTCACCTAAAGTCAAAATTGTTAATTTGAAAGGTATATATGACTTGAATGATAAAGTTCTCATATTTGCTTACCAAATGCAATCAAAATATATTTATCAAATAACGTAGAAGTATGCCAAAACAAGCCTTGCGAAAGGCCATTATTTGAAATCGTAGGAGTTGACCAAGTTAATGTTGTAATATCCAAAGAGACTATTGGACCTTGTGGAAAACCATCTATTATTAATATCTGATTATATTGAGCTATTTGAGATTGTAAAAATAAAAAATAAAAGCTAATAAAATTAATAATTAACAAATTTTTAATAGTCTATAGAACAATATAAAACTATACTGTACGTATAAAAGTTGCAGTATGACCAGCCTGAGGGACTGGGATTTGACCTGAGGTGACCTAATAATATAATAATTCGATTTAAAGTTTTAAATCAAGTACATACATTTATTTCATAAGCTGAGATAGTTATTTACATACTACATAAGCAATAACAGCTGTATTTTATGGTCTATTCGATCGTTCGGTAACCCAACAGTATAGTTGAGTTACCAACCAACAGGATTGCCCGTAAAATACAGTAGGTATTGCATACAAAGTATGCAATAACTATATAATATATTCAAAAAAACTAACAGTAGTTCTCCATGTATTATTATTGATGTTAAACGTTGGTATCTATTTAAATTTTTTTTAAAGAAATAGAACTTTAATATATATAACTATTGTTAATAGAATATAATAAATCAAATTAAACAAACCGTTCCCATTGAACCAAAGATATTAAAGTTACTATAATACCTCCCACCAATATAAAAAATATCCCCATTCGGTAAAAGGGTTGCGCTATATCTTACTAGCGCAGCAGGCGCGCCAGCATATGACAATGACGATAATGTTAAACTTGAAGTATTTAAGATAGTCATCTTATTTTCTGCATTCCCACTAAAGACATAAATCATATCCCCTGAAACAATACATTGAACACCATTTAGAGACATCGAGACATTTCCTATAATGTTTGGTATAGTCCATTGTTGTGTCAAAATATCATATTTTTCAACCAAATTATTTACTAATGTATTTCCTCCAATAAAAAAAATCGATTGATTCTTAACATTACATGATGCACCAGTAGATCTTTGTGAACTTGTTAAAAAAGATATGTCAGTCCAAGGCATTGATGATGTATTATATAGATCAAAAGGTTTTGAAATGTCGAGATAAAAAAAATCAGAAAAATATGCATAGCCATCTGTTCCTCCTTGAAAATAAATCTTGTTATTAATAAGATCTGCTGTATGTCCAAATCTTGCATTTGGAATATAAGCAGCAATTTTATGGCTCGAATAAAGAATGTAAATTAAGAGAATAATTAATTTTAAAGTGAATTTCATGCTTTTAAAAAAAAATTTTCAAAGATTAAATTTTCTGGAAGAATCGGAGTTTAAATCTTTAAGATGATCAGATTACTGAACTAATCAAAAAATAAAACTATTAAAAGAAAAGTTTTTATACACTTCAGTTCGTATTCAAAAATAATATATGCAAATCTATTCAAGGTCTTATTACCTCTTAAAAACCCGAAATACGTTTCTAACTTCTTAAAAACCAAATAAAATAAATTTCACTGATAATAAATTAGCCATTGTATATAATTTAACTGAAAATAAATGGTCATTTTATAATTTTTAATCCGTATAAAATTAAAGTTTAACACAATATAATAGTTACACCTAAATGACATCTTTTATTATTACAGAGACACAATTTTAAAAATATTTTAATTAAATAAGTAGTATCATTTAATTACTTAAAATCATATAAAGTATAAAATTCGATTATATGATTTCCTTTTTTGGAATCGCATTAGCCGTAGCGTTAACGTTAAATAAAATGAAATAGATGATAAATTTGTAAATGATTAATGATCGCTAATTACGTATAAATCATAAATCAGATGCTTTCAATCTGTGTTCAAAATGATTACAGATATTTTTTTTCATTCAAAAATATATCAATAAGCTACAGCGTGTATGCCTAAATATTATTAATATTATTGTTTACATTTACGGAGACATCATCCGAATCATTTAGCTAGAGATGTACAGTACATTCATGTACCTGCATGAATTATTTATTATGTGTGAATCCTATCTCCAAATTTAACTTTGTGCCTTTTTTCATTAACGATTAATAATTTGATGACTTGCTTTTTGTATAACCAAGTGTGATTTATGTACAGAAAATCAGAATAAATCAAATTTATAGAAAAGGAAAAAAGTAGAAAATCTTATGTATCAAAACAGTTAAACATAAATTTCCCGTGACATTTGTTTTTAAATAACGGTCCAAAATTTATCATTATGCTTTTATTTTTGTCCTTTTTTTTTATCTTTAAACCATCTAGCAGGAAGATCATTTTCTGACCAATCAGGGTTCAGTAAATTAATTTAATTTTCTCCCTCATGTGATTGTAAAATAATGGAATTACAAGAATTTTGGCAGGTATTGGTTTTTTATGCATGCTCCCATCTCTGAAACCATTATTATAAACTAACACTGATATTTCTCCCAAAAACTTGGTTCTCGAGTATTCGTCGTGCTTGAAACTACAATTTGCATGAATTTGCAACTTCAAATCATATTTAAAATTACTAATTTCAGTAGCTAATTTCAATCAGGTACCAACTTCAGTTACAATTTCAAGCAAATGCAAACTTTAATTAAAGTTATCACAATAAATTCAATCAAGTTCAGATTGATAATATTGTGACTGAAGTTGACATCAACTGAAGCTGCATTCGACTAAAATTAGCCCCCAAAATTAGATCATCTTGCACAAATTTTGTAGCAGTTTTAGGCTGAATTTGCAACTTCAGTCAAATATCAACTTCGGTCGCGACAATATCATCACAGTTTGAAAATTCTGTAGCGTAGCCTAGTAATCATTAAATTGTTAAAGAATTACACAATTGATCGTGATTGTGGCGCATGTAAGCGTTTTTATTATATTTAAGGGTCAAAGAATTCTTTGGGATCGAATCCTGATTAATTGTTTTAAAAGTTAGTAGAGGTTTAACTCGAAAGGGTCATTTGACGTACATACCTAAACGCAACAATCACAATTTATGATTATCAATTTATTACCGACTTGACGACAGAATTTTTCATATTTAGCTTGCCAAATTTAATGCACTTGACTTGATTTAGCCATGAGGTTTAAAATCTTAATTCCTTACATCGCTATTAAGGTCGACAAATTTGCAGGGGATATATCTGATACTTATATGTACATATGTTATACATAGAAACTTACGGCTTTAAAAACTCCACAATTCAATTTCTAATATAAACTTCCGTCATTAAATTTTGCAGTTTGCAGCTTTTTAAAAGTATAAAAGAAAAGTGGTCTGATGTAGGCGCAAAAAATAATCTATGGGCATGTGATCAATGGCACAGACTATAGTTTAGATTTAGATTTGCATGTGTATAGTTCAAGTTGGTACAGAATTAGTAGACTATTGTTTATATATTTGTGTCAATTTAAATATAAAATACAAAAATTAGGTCAAATTTAATATCTTAGTTTTCATTACATGAAACTTTTATACTGACAGCTTTTTAAAAAAAATTGTATGTTGTGGGACCCGAATGGACCCTGGCCGTTTGGGTCAATTGAAAAAGGTCGATCGCATTCATCGCATGCGACTGATCAGTCGCATATAACTAATGTGTCGGATATCAGCGATCGGTCGGAAGTAAGATATTATTGCATCAGTAGCATCAGAGATATCGGTAGCATGAATCGCAGGATGTAAATAAAATATTATAATTATAAATAAAGGCCAAAAGTCCCTTGGGGAAGGGAGAACTTCCCCTTAGCAAATAAAACAGTACAAAATACATATCGCTCATAATAAATCGTTTATTAATAGCTAGGCACTTGAGTTGCTTAAAGGGAGTTAGAAATGAGCATATTGTGTTATATAGTTTTGGTACATTACGTATGTATAACAGAGATTTATAGGTTATGGATAAGTATTTACATATTTGTATTTAAATTGACGGATCTTGAATAGAGAAGCTTTTATATTAAAATAAAAAAAACCATTGATTGTTTATTAAATTATCACAAATGGAGCTATTATCGACGTTGAGTATATTGTATCATATTGAAAGTGTTTAATATATTAATTGGTTATTATATGAGTGACGAAAAAGGAAAA